TTGTGCATTTCTCTGCGATGAGTGTTCTTGCGTGTGTTTGTGCTGTATTTCTGTAACGTAGTGTAGTCATTTTAGCGATATTTTTTAGCATTGTCATAAAAGCGTTAAAACCAGGTTCAACCCACCATTTCTTCTTTAAATGTCCTGTACCAAGTCAGGACTATGGCAGTTGTTATCAAATAATTCGTTTCTATGTATGTTGGCGTTTGTTTTTGTTGCACTTCTGTGTTCCTATTGTTCCTATTGTTCCTTTGTTTTCCTCTTATAGCTGATGTGTTTCCCTCGGTTTTAGTTTGTAACCCAGATTTGTTTTCTCTCAATCGATTTATGACTTTTGAACACCAGTATACTATTGTTGCCTTTATTCCTAAATCAGATTTCTTTCCCATAAAATACAACATAAATGACATCACGTGCTTCTCGTGACATCGTCACAACAATGCATAGAGAAACAAATGAAAATATTGTTGTAGCATAACACTGTTAATATAAGAATTGAATGTTTCTTTTTGTAATTTTATATAGTTGTTAAAGCGTTGATCGTGCGCAAATTTTTTTCGTATGAAGAGCTTTCGCATTCACGAACCGCCAAACGTACTCTTTACAATACAATTGTTAACAATAGAAAAGTCACCGAAGTACAATAATTTCCGAGATACTTCCAGTTTATTTTATTGCATAACACGAGCAAATAGTACTTTACCATGTTCTAAACTCATAAATTCGTCTGGATAACTACATGATTATCAGATTTGCACTTTCTATATTTCAAAATTTTATTCAGAAGGAAAAAATTTTAATTGAATCAAAATCCGTTCAATTTTAAAAGAATTTTCTTATTCCAATGAAATTCAGTTCCATGTGATAGTAAATATACATGTTTGAATAAAATAATGTGTCGCAATCCATGTACGGTTAATTCTTTGGCAGTGCCTATTGAATTAAAGGTTATAATGTAAGATTTTAAAATAAAAACTCCTCGTCGCTATCGAAATAGTATTATGAAAGGTGAACCAAAGTTTATTTTGAGAAAATTTGCCTTACACTTTTGCCAAAGGGTTATTATTATATGAAACATTATTTTAATATTCAGTTTTTTGCAATTGTATGAATTGATGTGATGTATATTGATTATTCTTAGTGGTAAATTACATGTGGACATAAAACAATAATGTATAGCTAGCACTTATCTCTAACCGACATTTTAAATTGTTAGCAACAATTTCAATATTTGTTTTAATTATACAGTTGAGAGCACAATGACAAATTTTGAAATAATTGATAATAGATTAAAAATTTTGAAAGAGAGCTTACTGTGATGTTTACGTTCGTTTTGGAAAATACGTGTATTTTTTGTTTAATTTCAGTCATATTGATACAGATGTATTATTCTATTTCATATTTACCGAAATAAAAAATGACTTTCAATTGAAAGGCATTCTAATGTTTAAATAAGTTTTCGCAGTTCACAACATTTTTTACCTAAAACGACTATCTGAAAAAAGAGGTGGTATCATTTAAAACTCACGTAGAAGAAAAACGGACAATTCCATGACACAAACCTCTACATAGAAATCTCAAGAAATATTTAGAAAAAACGTATAGTTTAGTAAAGAGCAAGATATGTGTCAGATATTTGTCTTGTCGGAATGTCACTTGTGTTTAATGGTTCTGCTTACTGCAAACATAAAGATATAAGACAACATTTTAAGTTGTTTATCTGTTGTTAAGCTAATGCAAATTCTTGGAACATACATCTAGCTTGGTCATTATTTTCTATAATTCACTGTATATGTCGAAAACATGGATACATATATGCATAAAACTCACAGTGTTAAGCTCAACCAAATATTAAAAGAGTAACAATTCCAATACCTTTGCACATGGATGTTGTGCTTACATATTATAATTGAGTTCCGTACTTTGAGGCGCATTAGGGATTTAAACCAAGATCAAGCAAACTACCTTAAATATGTATGTGCTAAATTGTCAAAAAGAGAAATTATGTCGTGCATATTCCCATAGAAACAAAATTATCTGACTCTAGGGATTTGATTTGGGTATATTCGTTGTAAAGTTTTCTTAAAAATTATTATTAAATGAAAATTTATTATACTATTATTTTTATACTTATCTACGTGGGTTTGGTATTGATTGATTAAGCTGGGATAAATTATCCAGTGACATAGAACAATAAAAGATAACTAGTAATTCTCTCATATCGATAAACTATTATTTTAACAAATTTTTCAATAGTTGTATTTATGATGCAGTATGTAAAACAGCTGTCCGTGGTATTTAATCTCATTGTGGGAAATTCATTTATCTTTTCTTATTTAATTTAAGGAATATTGGTACTGATGTACAAATCTATTCAGTAACTTATTGTTGCCTCAATTCATATTAGTAACATAAATAGTTACATACGTTTGAATTATCAGGGTGGGTGTGCTATTTATTGATTAAGCTTGGGATAAATTACCTAGTGGCGTAAAACAACTACAGATAACTAGTGATTTTTACTTATCGACGAACTAATTTGTGACAACAATTTCGATATTAATTATATACAGTTGTATTTATTATGCAGTTTGTAAACAGCTGTCCGTGATGTTTAATCTCATTGCGGAAAACACTTTAAAAATTATTTTTGTAAGATACAAGTGATTTTTTCACATTCTAACCTTGTCGGAATGTCACATTTTTTTTTTAGGAATTTTGCTTGCGGTCAACTTTAATATATACGATTGAGGGAAATAATCTTTCGTTTAGCTAAGGCACATTCCGAAATAAACTGAACACGTATCTATCTATGTCAAGCAAAGTGTTATTTTATGACTTGAAATAAATATACAAAAGAGAACATTGATAAAATGAACAGCAGCATAGCAACATAAACCATATAAATATTCATGTAATCATCACGAAACATGTTTTCAAAAGAATTGACATTTCAATTGTTCCATAATGACCTTCAAACATTGTCAGCTTTTTCAAGGACCATATTTTGAAAACTCGGACTTCTTTTAAACTGAGTTTTACTGTGCGTATTGCTATGTGTTATTCTACATTGGCTAGAGGTATAGAGGTAGGGTTGAGATCTCACAAAACATGTTTAACCCCGCCGCATTTTTGCGCTTGTCCCAAGTCAGGAGCCTCTTGCCTTTGTTAGTCTTGAATGTTTTTTTAATTTTAGTTCATTTATATGTTTTGGAGTTTAGTGTGACGTCCATTTTCACTGAACTAGTACACAATTTTATTTAGGGGCAAGCTAAAGACCACCTCCGGGTACGGGATTTTCTCGCTGCGTTTAAGACCCATTGGTTGCCTTCGGCTGTTGTCTGCTCTTTGGTCGAGTTGTTGTCTCTTTGACATATTCCCCATTTCCATTCTCAATTTTATTAGTAAAATCGTCGTTACTAGATTACTATTAAGATTACTGATCACAACCCTCATATCAAACCTGTACATTTTAAGTATAAGAATGTTCTTCTTTGTATGGATCATGATAACGAAAGGCAAACCATTAAATATCGTACAAAATTAGAAATATATACTTCATATGCAAGAATGTTGTTTTAAAGAAATGGAAAGTTTACAATGAAAAAATTGAAATCATCTCGATGCTATATATCTAGGTCTCAACTCATTAGCGACGAGTTTTCGCGTTATAATATCCTTAGATACCAGAAAAGTCGTCTAATCTGAAAATTTATCAAGTGTTGTTTTTTTTTTACTTAGTGCTGATTTGCATAGCAGGTGATGCTTGCAGAGAAAAAATCACCCTTTCGACATACTTGGTATTCTTTTGGAGTTTATATAATTCTATCAGTTTTGTTTGTTTTTATGATTTGTATATTCTTAATTATTTATAAGTTTTGAACATCCATAAACTACTGCTGCCTCAAATTTGTCGTAAAGTTTAGTTTTCAACCGACCCTCATTGTCAATTATTAGATGTAACTTAACATATGTAACAGACTGAAGTGTAACTCTGATATCCTATTATTCAAGTTTATTAGGATAGACGAGGTCTTCATAGTTACCTAATATTCAATTATTCCGTCACCATACATCATCTTTAATACTAGTAGCCGAACATGAAGTGACAGTTTAATTCCAGCTTCTTTTATTTTTTCTCCAAAAGCTCTTGTAGGAAGTATGCCTCCTACGTTATGAATGTTTTAATGGTGTTGGGAATCGTGTATTTCTTAACCAAACTTTGAACTGCAGTTGTTATAGTCAATAAATGAAGACATTTACATGTATCTGTTTTCACCGCAAATGAAAGACCTTAAGATCACATAAATCAATTAAGAATTTACAAATCAAGGTAACAAACAAAATTTCAGGAATCACAAGAAACACAAGAGGTGGGGGACCGAGTGGATCGACAGTTAAGTATCTCTTGCTATGCCTGACACGCAATACAACATGTCACAATCGGGAATAGGAAACAATTGATAAAACATTTTACAGATCAGACAACGACTCTGGTAGTATTTTAAGATATAAGACTTCATTTTTCATTTCCAACAAGACATTTCTCAGTTCCAACCTTGGAAGTCATAAATGTAAACTAAGCACTGAGAAATATCAAGTTGGAACTAATTAATTGTAAAATTTGTAATTAGAAATGTCAACTTGGTACTCAGAAAATATGTCAACTTTGAAATGATAAATTTTAAGTTTGAAAAAGAGAATTTAACAACAAATTGTCCCTAACGGTCTTTCGTAAAATTTTTCCGTAACAATGCCAATATTTTATTATATATACTGTGTCTTTAAATACAGAAATTGATTGCATTAACATACAGTTCAAAAGTAAAAAGTCAGATGCGTCATTCTTATTCCTTCCCTGGTTTTAGTGTTGAATTTTTATTGATATACTTTTTTTCATATTGATGTCTGCTTTTCTTTTACCTATGATCTTTTTGCCGCTTTAGTAATTTCTCCCCCTTAGCATGATATATATTATTTTCATTTATGTTTTGTAGTTCATGGGACTAACATTAAACAGCATTTTACATTTTACAACGTAGAAAGAGCATGGACAGAAGCAAAAGTGATATGTGAAGATTCAGGAATGAGGATGCTGAAAATAGAAACTTTGCAAGAAAATGATTTTGTCATTGATTTGATTAAGACTGAACTTGGACTTGGATCACTGTAGGTATTTTCAATGTTGTTTGACATTCTCATACGTCTTCAATTAACAGAAATCATCCATCAGAATTTTTGTTTAAAGAAACCATTGTGGCCCCAAAAAAAACCATTTGTTTGAAACACAACTGACAAGAACATGTCGACAAAGAACTCTACACAAAAAACTAAACTCGACCAAAGACTGGTCATGAGTGATGCGGAAAGCGAATCAGTTCCTATTCCACTAGTATTCTCGTTTTCTATATGCTATAAAAAGTCATATGAGACTTAAAATATGCAAAAGAACAATACATTGTTTTAAGCATAGAGAGAATAATAGTAGCCATTCACAAACGACAGCCTTGAAGAACTGGACTTATTTAGGATAGTCATCTTCGATACCTGTAGCATTTCAAAACAATTGTATTATTGTAATATAGGAGATTATATGAAATGTTGTAAATCACATATTGACAAATAAATCGCGATTCGACACGCAAGTTCTCTTTTCTGTAGTACCAACTTTTCATTACAAATGTCGCTGAAATATTGCTTTTCAACAATGGATAGTTCCAAATGGGAAATTTAAGTAATCTTTTCTGTCATAAAGTTAAGTTCTCAATCAAACTTCACTTTCCATTTATATGTATCTCAAGTTCAATGTTTAACCGGACATGTCATATAGAAAATGTAGACAGTCTATGAAACGATTTCCACAAGTTTCCGGAGGTAATCCGAATTTTATTTTTCAAACCTTCGTGATAACATTCTGGTCTTTTTAGTAATCACATATGGTCAAGATTAATTTGTTGTGGTGTTTTCTTGTTCTTTTTTAGTCCAACCTTAATTTAGTATATCGATAAAAAAGGGAAAAACGATAAAATAGAATTTATTTATAGAGCATGATTCAGACTATTTATAACAGGTTGTTGTCTATCATATGTGTTTATTGTTTATTGGTTTGTCCATTATTCAGGTCGTTGGTTTTCTCGTTTGAACTGTGTCACATTTTGTCAAATGGGGGTCCTTTTATAGCTTTATCTATGGTATGAGTTATGCTTATTATTGAAGGCCATGCGGTGATTTATAGTTGCTTACACCTACATCATTTGGTTTCTGGTGGATAGTTTCTCATTTGCAATCCTAACAAATCTTTTGTATACCATTAATTTCAATTTTTACTTCCCATGAGCATAACCTTTTCTTCGAAAATATTTTCAGAAATGATTTTATCTGGACAGGTCTTCGCCGCGATTCCATCGGAAATGAGAAGTGGACAGATAATGCAGCACCGACATGTAAAAATTATGCGACAAGCAACCTTACAAGTACATCCGGATCATTTTGTTTTGCATTAAATCCACCAAATGGTGACTGGTTGGAGCATAGTTGTACTCAACGACACATGTTTGTATGTGAAACGGATGTAGGTATGTCAATTTGTGGAAGAAACAAATAAGATATTCAAACTCATGTCGATGACAAAGTGACACCGCCATGGCAAGAATAGAAAAAAGACAAACAACAACATACTTGTATGATTTTCATAAAAATCTTAGAATCGCATTCTTGGCTTCCTAGTAAACAAAGGGAATACATACAGCTGTTTAACTAATGTTATTTACTTTATTATTAAGATCCTTGTTCGTTAGCTGAATTATCAAGGAATGTAGAATATTATACTGGTGAGTAACACTGTTAGAACTATTACTCTGAAAGCGAGAGGCGGAAGATACAAAAAATATATTCAAACTCATAAGTTGATAATGTCATGGCAAAAAACGAAAAACGGACAACAAAAAAACAGTTTACAAAACATAGCATAGAAAATTAAAGACTGAGTAACTGAAAGTACTGTCAAATCATTTTTAGAAAAGCAAAGAGCAATGACCAAAACAATCAATTCTTCACTTTGAATGACTGAGTAATGCAGTTTTCAAGTCGCAATATTGTATCCGTGCATATTTTATTTTAAATGGAGGAATCGTGATACATAACTGATAATAATAATACTTAATGTCATCTATATAAATTTGTCTTACAATAAAACATAATGTGTTCTATTCCTTAAACGATTCATGCAGTGCATGCTTTTTTTTAATAGTGCAAGCTTGACGTGTTTTCATTTCAGTTTAAAATGCTGATATTTGTCAATTAAATGAATGCATCTGTTGCGATGTTTTCATTCCTGCATTTACATCATTGTTGTACAATAAATAATTAGGACAAAATAACTTCAAGACGACACTATGTGTCGACTTCAGAGACAAAATTGAGTTTGAATATAAACTCATCATAGATACCACGCTTCAAATTGTGTACGCCAAACGCGCGTTGCGTCTACAAAAGACTCATCAGTGACGCTCGAATCAAACAGTTAAAAAGGCCAAGTAAAGTACATACTTGAAAAGCATTGAGGACCCAAAATTCCGAAAAGTTTTGCCAAATACAGCTAAGGTAATCTCTTTCTATGGTAGAAAATCCTCAGTATTTCCAAAAATTCAAAGGTTGTTAACAGTTGATTTATGATTATGACCATATCAATAACAATTCGTTTCAACACAGAAGTGCTAACTACTAGGCTGATGATACTCTCGAGGAGGAAACCTCAGCAGTTACATGGAATAAACGTGTGCGGGGATGGTCAATGAACAGATATATAAAATGCTATAAATAAATTACATTGCCCAACAAGAATATTTAATGATTTTGCATTCTGAACTTATTTAGTTCGAGCGTCACTGATAAGTCTTTTGTAGAAGAAACGCGTGTCTCACGTACAAAATGTTAATCCTGGTATCTATGACGAGTATTTCCAAATAAAATTGAAAGACTGATTTTAATAACAATAACAATAACAATTCATTTTATTATTCTAATAAAATCATATCTATAAGATGACCATTGGATATTCTGTAGGTAAAGGGCGGGAGAATTTTTTTAAGATTGACTATTCACTATCACCTGTTGCTGCGTATGCTTATTTTAACTTTAGCACACAAATGAATTGTTTCCTGAATTTTGTGTTGCATAATAATCGTTTTCATCCTGTCTAATTGCAAGGTCATTTATTATTTTGAGTTGTTACCAAGCCAAGCCAGAATATTCATTTCTAAAATCCTCCTGCTTCCCCTTCCCCGAAAATCAAATGGTCGTTCCTTTAAATCAATTCAATTGTGTGTTAAGTTATACCATTTGTTATTCACAGGGCAGTGTACGTTTGACCAAAGACCTGCTGGTAAAGGTTGTAATAGTTCACCCATAGCATCACCTGACTATCTTGACAGTTTTGAAATTACGGAATCACCGTGTAAGACAAAATGTTTGGATTCAGTCAATAAAAACGATGTAGAATGTTGGGCGGCTGCTTATCTCCCCGGCTGTAACTGCAATGATTGTTGGTTGTTTCATAGTAGAGCTGCAGATTATTGCTTACAGAATGAGGGGGATTTCGATGGTGTGACATTATTCATCAAAATATGTTTTGAAGGTAAGTTTCCACTATTTAGGTGTGTTTGCATTTCATCATGTGCATTGGTATGGTAATAAGTGAAATGTGAGATACGCCGAATTTATCAAAGTCAGTTGTATTTGTTATGTAACAACTGCATAATATGTTTAATCTCCAACAATTTCAGTATTAATAAACGTGCAGTACTATCACTGAAAATAATAATTTAATCAATAACAAAGATAAAATAAGGAGATGCCGTATGATTGCCAATGTGAAAACTATTAAATAGAGGTCAATGACCTGGATGATACCTACAATAAATTATTGTACGGTTTTAAACAATGAGGAACACCTATAACGCATGGAAAGCTAAAAAATGTCCTGACATGACAAACCGTGAATTAAGTCAAACAAAAAATTCTTCGATATGCTGTATGTATTAACAACAAACGAAAACCAAATATGATAAAAAAAAATAACAAACAACAACCACTTGATAACAGGCTCCAGACACGGCACATGTAAAACAGAATGTGGCGAAGTTAACTCATAAAAAGCAGGCGATGTCGTACGATTGCCTTTCAGACAACTATCCACCAGAGAATAAAGGAAAAGGAAGTTATCAACTAAAGGTCACCGTACGGCAACAAACGACAGCGTCCTGACTTGGGACATGCAATAAAGTTTTTCAGGACTTGATATAAGTATGTTGTCAACAAATGTGATATACATTCATTTACACTCGCTAAAAGAGGGGGAAATGTCGTCTTTCCGTTTCTAATTATCTAAACATTTTCTCTGTTTTACCACATTGTCTTATATTTCAATTGTTTTCGGAGAAAATACACATCTAAAAAAATGACAATTATCAATGAATATAAATATCCCATTCGGTATTTTTGTTATTTTACTCTTTAGATACATGTTTAAGGTGGTACCTAACACTACAGGGAGGTAACTCTGTAAAAATCAGCTAAACGTTTTAATCACGTTGTATTTTTGAGGAAATATTAAGCTTCTCAATGATCAAAATTAGTGTTTGTCAAACTGCTATATAACCAATGAAATTTTTCTGATAAAGTGGTTGGTTCAAATTTTTTGAAATTTTTATATTTTTGTCAAAGGGTCAAAGTAAACATTTTGTCAAAATTTTATGAAAATTAAACGAGCCAAATTAATATTAGTCAAGGAGTTGGGTACCACCTTAAGCGTTTCTGTTTAAGGTAAATCCAGAAATGCTCTTCGGACGCACACTATTTCAAAAGTAATAAGTCATGTTTTCCCTATGTACAGCGATCTGAATAATATCTTGATAATTTTCAGAAATAAAATATTTTTCGTTTTGTTTTTGCTTCAGAAATATGTTGATTTTACATAATTGTCATTTCATTTTAGGAGAAATGCAGACATTGACAACAAAAGTCACAACAACAGGTATAAAAATTTTATTTTTTTTTGTTTTTTGTTTTTTGTTTTGTTTTTTTGAAAGAAAAGGTTTTAACGACTTAAAGTAGTTATGTCTGTAAGTGATAAACAAACGTTTAAAACTAATTATTACAATTTTGCGATAATTTCACAATCACAATTGATTTTTCTGGAGGTCTATTCCTCACTATGAATTAAAAGATCAAATATTTCTTCTTTTACCCATTGCTTTTTCTAAACAAAATCAAAATCGTAGATACAAATGTTTCGTTCAAGGTCACGAAACATTACACTTTGTACAGAACCTAACTTATTTCGTCAACTTATTACTAGAATAATAAAGACGCTATCTTCAAATTGGTCGACTTTCTTTTTATAACCAACAACATTTTTGTTGAGTTTGTTAGATTGCTATTTCAACAACTGGTGTTCCAATGGTAACGTATTGGGTACCCCTACATACTAATTTAATTGTATTCAGCTGAAGCAGAATTCATAGTAAAAAATGCATCTTGCAAAGTTCTTTGATTTTACGATCAGATATATTAATGATGTCATTTCACTCAATAATCCACAAGTGCATGCATCTGATCAAACCCGAAGACTTCTTTAAAATCAATGACACTACCGAAACGCTTCATATCTAGACATATATCTTGACATCGACAAACATGTCAAACTTCAAATTATGATCTTTCAGACGTGATAAGTTCAGTTTTATTGATATCAACTTACCATTTCTCAGTTGTTATATACCCTTTTTTCTAAATTATGACATTTTCTATCTCAATTGATACTTTACTTTATTAAAATAGCCTTTGAAGACCGTCATAATCATGATAATTATTTAGACTTATATTGTGAAAATAATTGTGAATTTTTTAATCTCATCTATAATACTAAAATAACGAGGTCCAATTTGTTAGCCGGCATGGGGTAAAAACGACGAATCAAAGAATTCAACTTTATATGTAACTAATATAGGAAAATGGTGTAGATTAAAAATTAAACCATTCCAGGCCCTTTTGTTTTCCACATAATTAATACTAGAACACATCCGCGACATCGCGAGTCCGTGACTAGATTAAAGTATTTAATCATGTATAAGACTTATTTTTAGCCTGGACTTTTAGTATTGCTTTTGTCATCTGATAAAGTCATGCTGATTATAAGATGCACAGTTTTCTCTGCTTTCAAAATCTTTCTGCTTGAACCCGTTGACCTGGAACTTATTAATTATTGATAATATTAATTATTTGGAAAACAAAGGGCCTGGAATTTTGTAATTTTCAATCAACACCATTGTCCTATATTATTTAAATATAAAGTTGAATTCTTTGATTCGCCAGTTTTACCTCATGCCGGCTAACAAATTGGAAACTGTACCAACGCCTTATTTTAAGTCTGGATTTTTAGAAATCGTATTGTCATCTTATGAAGTTATGCAGAATAAAATACCACAATATGAAACAATGTGACAATGATTGAATTTAGTAGTGTCAACCCTGTATAATGACCCGTGTATATAGAGCAAATCCCAAATACGCCGTTTGATGGTGCACCTGACAGATACGGCGTACAGATAAGATAATATAGATTTCGCGGGCAGTACGTCGACTGAGCATGCGCGAAAACGTGTAAGACACGGATCGATAACGGTCTCCGAATTTGGATATTTTCTCAAAAACTGGTGTTTTCTGTGGAAAAAAGATTATTTCAAAGACAAATTTAGGAAGTACAAAACACTACATTTATACGTCATATCACAAATATTTCCGACTTTGTATGGTTTCAAATGAGTTGCGACTGAATGAAATCGGTCTCTTCCTTTAGAAGTATAGATTACCAATAATTAACAAGTTCCGGGTCGAATCCGATACCGATACAAATAGTATATGTCACCTGTTACTTTACTTAATCTGTACGTTCCGCATCTGTCAGGTGCACCACCAAACGGTGTATTTGGGATTTGATATATACACGGGTCATAATAACACCTAATTTTAGTCATTATACAGGGTTGACACTACTAAATTCAATTATTGTCGCATTGGTTCCGGTTGTAATATTTTAACCAGCATGACTTTATAAGAGGTCGACGGGTTCAAACAGAAAGATTTTGAAAGCAGAGAAAACCGTGCATCTTATAATCAGCATGACTTTATCAGATGACAATACCTTTACTAAAAATCCAGGCTAAAAAAAAGGCTTATACATAATAAGATACTTCATTCAGTAATAGACCCGCGATGTCGCGGGTGTGTTCTAGTTCCATATAATTGTATGAATTTCAAGATTATATACACGTCATAAAAATACGTCACTGTTTGTGGTGTCCGTTGTTATTCTGTGGTTTACATGTTGTAATGTACTGTTATATTATTTATTTATGCATTTCTCTGTGCTGAGTGTTCTTGCGTTTGTTTGTACTGTATTCCTGTCACGTAGTGTTGTCATTTTAGAGATATATATTTTTTAACATTGCCATATAAGCGGGAGGTTTGGCTAGCCATAAAACCAGGTTCAACCCACCATTTTTTCTTAAAATATCCTGTACCAAGTCAGGAATATGGCAGTTGTTATCAAATAGTCCGTTTCTATGTATGTTGACGTTTGTTTTTGTTTTTGTTTTTGTATTTTTTGTTGTTTTTTTTTTTTTTTTGCAGTTTAGTGTTTCTGTTGTTCCATTGTTTTCTCCTTATAGTTGATGTGTTTCCCTCGGTTTTAGTTTGTAACCCGGATTTGTTTTCTTTTAATCGATTTATATCTTTTGACCAGCGGTATACTACTGTTACCTTTATTTTCGCTCTTACGTGTTCATTTTACGGGACTATTTAGCATGGGTTTGCTCTGATCACACAATCTCATCCAGCAAGGTTATGATGAACAACGACTGTTCTCAGCACTACATTAGTTTGTGTTGGTCCCCAACATGAATTTGTTGAGAGATACGACATGTCGGTATCTCAACTCTAGAGATTCATGTTTTTTTCTGGTCAAAGATCTTAAACTATCAGAATGGTCGTGAAGTTCTACAATTATACCGATTGTGTTTTTTGCCCTATCGTCACGATTTGATTAGGCTGCTTGGTTTTGGATGACGGTGATTTACGCAAAACAGAACAATCTCGGTAATCTAAATTTAGGTATTATTGATTGTCGAATCAGTGACCAACTTTTACCTGGCTATTGCTATAATTTGTAAGATATGGCAGGTTACTAGGGTACATGATGAGGTTCAATGGAGAATCAAGCACTTTGGTATCTCCTATCATTTATGTGCAACTTGAAACATAATACGCAAAAGTAATGGTGAATAATTGTGTGTACATTAAAAAAACTTTTATTGAAAGATAATTTTGTCCTTCCTTTCTTTAAATATATGTCGAACAATGTTTCTTATTACTTCTTAAAAGGAGTTATTTCAGCAATTTCTCCGATTTCATTTCGGAAATTGAGTCATCGGGTTTCAAAACAGGTCAAATATAAATTTGTATGCATTTGTATACCAGACTTTCCATGCCTACAAAAAAATTTCTGTATTTGTTCATTGATTTCACGATGAAGAAATAATTTTATGGCGACAAACAAGAATAATTCCACTGATGGGATGATTTACTAATCGATGCGGTAGGCATTGCATACCATTTTCTATCGACTCTGAACTTATTGTCTAGTTTTCAAATTCATTCAAATGGTCAATATAAAAATTAGGAGATGTGGTATGATTGTAAATGAGACAACTATCCACCAGTGTTAAAATGGAATGGTCGTAAGCAATTATAGGCAACCGTACGGCCTTCAACAATGAGTAAAACCCATAATTTATAGTCGATTGGTAAAGGCCCCGACATAAATGTGAACTAATTCATACTAATTCAAACTTACGGCCTGATTCATTACAAAACAATTTACGAAAAACAAATAAGACAGACATGAACCAACGACATTCGCTGTACAACCTGCTCCTGACATGCAAAGAAAGAATGGGACGGGTTCAAACATGTTTGTAAGCGCTCAACTCTCCCCTTACCTGTAACAGTGGTGGAAAAGCACAACATCAGAATGAACTGTTAAGATCAGTTGCAATTAGCTTAAATCATAAGATCGGTACGAGGTACAAAACTTCTATCATACATTTGATAGACACAAAGCACCAACATAAGAGTACTCGTGCAGTTATTGAAAGCTAATTTAACGCCAATTATAATTAATAAAAAAATCATGCACTCCCACACTTAAGTATCAATCATTACAAAAACAACGAATTTAGAGTAAAGACATCATAAACAGTCTTAGAAACGCATTTCGTGTGCAATGCCAAAACATAGATAAGGAGTATCGACAGGATGCAGGATCATGAGTTTTCATAACTGTACATATATATTGCGATTTATATAACTAATTAATAAATCATGTCGGTAACGTGATCCGTATTCTGATTAATGTCTTTTGTGTGGTTGTTAATTTCATCATTACTCGAGAAGCTTTCCACAGAATCGATTTTTTTTAATTAACATCAAAAAGTATGAAGGGAAACTAATTTTCGAACATAATCCACCCAAGGGTTTATGGGGAATAGAAATATGGTCACCATTAGTCTTCCTCCGACCGGCAGTAAAACCCTCGCTAAAGTGGGGGCGTCCTTTTGGCTGTGCGGGATGTACAAGTTCGCAGCAACGTCCGGTTAGAATACTGACGTTATATCAGTTATCTCGTGTACAGAGGGTGCCATTCCCTTTGCACGTTAAGAACCCTTGCAACAACCTATAGTGGGTGAGTCTTTATAACTATATTTCTAACGTTATTGCATATAATAAATCTATGACAGGTTTAGCAATAAAAAAACAAAAAGCACTCACACAGATTAACAAATTTAATGTGTTGTAGACTCCGGAAAAACATCATATTTAGCTTCAACAAAATTTGACGTATCAACTCAAGATTCTTACTATAAAGGAGCAACCAATAGTGTATCAACAGGTTTGTAAATTTTATAAACAATATTAGCAATAATAAAGAACTTTAAGGCACTTTCAAAAAGGGAGACGTTTATTAAACTTGCCAAAAGCAAACGCTTGACTATATCAACCAAGGAACGAACGGAAAATAACTGTCAGATTCCTGACTTAGTACAGATATTGACAAGATTGTGGTGGGTCAATTGCGTGTAATACTGTTTTTTTTTTTATTTGTCTTTGTATATTTTTAACCTTTACTTTTAAGTCCATATTTGGTAATATACTTTTGGTGTGCTTCTGTATTTATACATCCCGCCATTGTGTTATTGTGCAACGGTAATTTTTTGTATTCATGTCTTTCATTATTGCTTATGTGCTTTGTCTACAAAGTGTCTATATGCCATTTTGTTTTTCCTTGTTGACATAGTTGTTTGTTTTTAAAGTGATTGAGATTATAACACAATGTTGACTGCTGTATCCCATTTTTTACATTGTATCTATTATGTCTGTTTGTTTTGCTCACACATTGTTGTCAATATAATGGAATTCTATGCTATCGTCGTACAAGTGAGAGGTTTAGCTAGCTATAAAACCAGGTTAAATGGATTATATTCTACATAAGTAAATGTCTTTATCAAGTCATGAATATGGCAGTTGTTTTCCATTCGTTTGATGTGTTTAAGCTTTTGATTTTGCTATTTGATAAGGGACTTTCCGTTTGGAATTTTCCTTCGAGTTTGGTTTTTATTGTTTTTAAATTTTTTTTACCTGGTTTTATAGCTAGCTAAACTTCCCACTTATGTTAGTGGTAGTGCAAGGGTTCCTAAATTACGTTTAAACTTACAAACGTCAAACATTGACCAGAACGAAGTGCATACTTCTTACATTTATTTTCACGCTTATGTAATGGTCAATATGAGCGATCTTTATGGCAAGCCGTTTTTATATTTATTCAATTTTAAGATATCTTATAAAGTTAATATAATATCTTATAAAGTATATAAGATATCTTATAATGTTATATAAGATATCTTATTTAATTTAAAGTTAATAAGATATCTAATTTATTTTATAAGATATCTTATAAAATTAATTAGATATCTTGTATAGTTTATAAGATATCTTATATCTTTTTAAAGATATCTTTTAAACAAATACTTTATGAGATTTCTTGTATAGTTTATAAGATAT